AGCTCCATACGCGGGTTTATATACAGGACACGAAGCTCTGCCCTCAACGACAAATCAACATATGGGTTCCTCTCCGAATAAACTTGTTTTTATGTACAGAAAAAGCACTGCTGTTGCGAAAGAGTGGCAGAGACGAGCCCAAAGAGAATCAAATGGAATAAATGCTGATCATTTTCTTGTGGCACTTACCATAGCGCTGCTGCATCGTGCAGATTTTATAGCTCTTCTTTTCTGAACTTGGTCAAAATTCTGCAGAAATCCTTTCCTAGAAAGTCCGATTTGTGTCGTTTCAAAGAGTTTTGCATTATTTCAGCTCTAATTAGAAATCCTTCAACAGCCGCAAATTTGAGTTTGATTTCTAAATTGCTAGTTATTAAAGCAGCGAAATAAGCTAGATAAATTATCACTGCTCTTTGTCTAACGCCTATGTTTTCATTAAAAAGATGGAGTAAATGATAAGGAAGAAGAGATATAGGTTATGAATGTTTGTGTGTGGGATAGTTGTTGATAGGAGAAGGCAGAGTTTGCAACGAATCGTATGTTTGTATAGTAGGTCTAATATAATTTGGCGAAAATTCGTATACCAAACAATTCTAACATTTATCAATAGCCAGTATGAGGAAAGCTATTTTTACAAAACTGTAAAATCTACAGATTTTTTCAAATGGCTCTTTGGCTTTTTCTCTGTCAGATTCTGACATACAGGCAAGATTCTAAAACTTCAAATATTGGAGCTGTGATATCCAATCTTCGACAACGCCGAAACGTTTCTATTTGTGGACATTTTCTCGAAACTGCAAACGTGATTTTTGTGCCATCTGCTTGAATTCCTAATGCAGACACAAAACCAAATGATTTCTTCACAATAAATCTGGAAATTGGAGAGCCACCGAAATTCAACACTACTAGAAAAAGCGCTCATCTAAGTAGAAATAGTCCTCCACTAAGGTAGCGAAATCGACACCGCCGATCAGAAAATTTCTGTGACGCAACACTGCGCACATTCTGATACGGTAGCCTCTGACAATTTTTTGATAAGGTCTAGGGTGGACGGGGACAAAGCAGATAGCGCCACGGTGAAGGAAGGGATCACGTCGGGACTGGGGCCCAGAGTGAGCCCGTGTGGCAATGTAGATGCTACGATTATTAGTATGAAGTGAGCACATTCAGCCGCCACGAACAAAGAGCCACATTTCATCCTTTCGGCGCAAAACCTTGCTTGGTAGAAGAAGTTGATTGGTGAAGACAGCGCACAGAGTCGGTGTAAAGGTCTTCATGGAATTGCAGGTTGGAAGATCCACACAGATCAAGCACGATTACTGCACCACCGACTTAGCCGAGAGCCGCAGAGGTGTGGAAGAGACAAAACAGCAACAGTTGCATGTTCTCATGAGTACTTTTACTGCTTGTTTTCAACATAACAACGAAGTCAACAGAAACAGGGCGATCAACGAACGAGTCAACTGGCTAGAAAATGTCGCCAACAGACGATTAGCTGAACTGGCAGATGGCAACATTGGCCAGGAGAGAAGCGCTTAATAAGTTAGGTGAAGGGTTTACACTTTTAAAGTCTCCTTTATGCTGAAAATAGAAAAAGGCTTTGGTGCGAGCTATAAAACACATTGGAAGGGACTTTGCATACTTCGAAGCCGAAAGCCTCCCAAGTATGACTCTCTGCCACTGAGTGACTCAAAAGTGAATCAGTAAATAAATAAACATTAACTACTCATATAGAAAGAACCACTTTATCATAGCCATTTGTTCCTTTGTGTAGCCCATTAAAATTTTTCCACGAAAAGAGTTTGGGCTGTTACTTCTTATCTTATCCCATTTTAGGTTTTGATGAAGACAAGCAGGAGGTAACAGACTTGATCATGAGATAAGCCAAAACCTTCTTAGATTATTATTTCCT